TCTCAAGTTTTGAGAAAAAAAAATATTTTTGTGAAACAAGAAAAACGAAAAACTATACCACTGAAATTATGTTTTTTCAACAAGAAAGCAATGTTGGAACAACCTGTTGAATATTCAACAGAGATTGCTTGAGTTTTAAGAAAAACAATATTTTTAGAATACAATACAAGAAAAACGGGAAAGAACGACTGAAATTATGTTTTTTTAACAAAAAGAAAGCAATGTTGAAACAGAGATTCTTGAGTTTTGAGAAAAAAAATAGTTTTTATGAAACAAAAAAAAAACGAGAAACTACCACCAAAATTATGTTTTTTTTGTTACAAGAAGAAAGCAATGTTAAAACAGAGGTTCTTGAATTTTGAGAAAAAAAAGATTATTTTTATAAAACAAAAAAAAAAACGAAAAACTATCACCGAAGTTATGTTTTTTCAATAAGAAGAAAGCAAAATTGGAACAACCTGTAAATATTCAACAGAGATTTCTTGAGTTTTGAAAAAAAAAATTATGAAACAAAAAAAAGAGAATTTTTTTTAATAAAAAGAAAGCAATGTTGAATCGAGATGACCTGTTGAATCTTCAATAGAGATTTCTTGTTTTGAAAAGAAAAAAAAAATTATGAAACAAGGAACCACCACAAAAATTATGTCTTTTTTACAAGAAGAAAGCAATGTTCAACCGACCTGTTAAATATTCAATAAAAATTTCTTGAGTTTTGCGAAAGAAATATGAAACGAGAAAAACAAGCAACTATCACCGAAAGTATGTTTTTTTTGTAATAAGAAAAACACAGTGTTGAATATTCAACAGAGACTTCTTAAGTCTTGAGAGAAAAAATATATTTTTTATGAAACAAGAAAAACAAGAAACTAGTACCAAAATAATGTTTTTTAACAAGAAAAAAGCAATGTTGAAACGACTTGTTGAATATTCAACATAGAATTCTTAATTAAAAAAAAATTGTTTGAAACAAGAAAAACGAAGAACCACCACCAAAATTATGTTATTTTAACAAGAAAAAATACATATATGAAACAAGAAAAATTGAAAATAAACATTTGTATGCAACTCATTATTAGCCACAATTGGGAAGCTAGCTGTACTTGAAAAAAATTGTTCATTGTTAAAGCTTGTTACATTTTGCATTCCTAAATCTCTGAAATTATAGCAATTTAGCAACAATTACAAACAGAATTCGGATAAAATATAGCAATATAGGTAGTCCATTACTTTAATAAAGCCGTAACATACTCGTAATCGCCGTAATAAAGTGAATTGAACAACGATAAATAACAAACTTGAACAAAGTGATTTATTGATAATGCCACAAAATTCTTAAATAACATTAAAGGCAAAGACGTTATTTATGACTATCATCATGTTGGCAATTTTTGCACGTGACTTTATTAAAATTTTACTAGAGCGTGAAAAATTTTTAAAGCAGCACGATCTATATTACAAAAAATAATAAAAACGTAAAATTTCATTTAGATAGACAGAATAATGCAGAAGCTTTCAAGACTCTTGTTCTAGAGCCAATACAAACGCTTCCACTGCAGTCTTGTCGAACAATGATTTGATTGCATTTTCCCTATGCTAAACACAAGAGACAGATTCAAAACATTATATTTGTGTTTTATTTTCAATTTTTGTAATCAGGTTAATATACATTTTATTAAAAAAAAGTGAAAAAATAGAAAAAAAAATAAAATTTTGATTCAAATTTTTTGAAAAGTAGTTAAACTGTTGCGAATTATTCTGTCGTTTGGTGAATTTTTTATTTTTATTATACGAGGTGAAACGATTTTTTGATGACTAAGAAAATTAGCACCAAAGACTAGCTCCTGGCCAAAATTCACACTTCCAGTGTCGTTTTTAAGTAGTAAACGCGACTCTAAAGTCCTGTCTGGTGCACCTTTCATCTCCGTTTAAGATAATCCTTAGTKGGAAGTTGTGCATTTCGCACATGCATAATAATATTAATGTTWGCAAGTAGTTGGTAATCTCTGTGTCTGTCGTCTTTGCTTCCATATATACGCAAAGTTAGCGACACGCCACTCCTSTTGTTATTATTACCATAATATATGAATCAATTCGCAAGAAGCAGCCCTAAAACATAACACACTCGAGGCTCAAGTCGTGTTGATGTTGGAAGTTGTTGTTAGAAACAAACCACCTGTGCACTGAGTTTTCAGGCGAATATAGACTGAGGATGCCCTTTTGCGTCGTCTGGCGCCGTTTTTGTGGCTTCTAACAAAGGTAAATTAACCAGCGCAAGTTCCGTGTAGCCTTCGAGGTGTTGTTTTTAAATATTAACCTAATTTTCGCCGGCTTGCCGACGGCTTTCGGGGCTCACACAATAACGAGACTCTTAGCTCTGCGGTTTTGCCATTTGCCGATGTAATGGCCAAAATGATGAAAAAATTATTTCACGAGCTGGAGGGAAGCTTAATCTTTTTTTGCCAAGAAATTTTTTTCCGAGTGAAATAAGCAACACTTTTATTAAAATTTACCGCCACGGCGAAACATAGAATTTTTAAATCATTGCAAGGTTCTTAAAAATCGATTATGTTAAAGTTTGCTCAACAAACATATAAATTACAGCAATTTATGTAAGTACTTGCTGATAAAAGCAAACAAACATCTTAGTTACACGTTAACTAATGTTTTTTTAAACAACAACTTTGGTAATGCAAAGTAAATGGAAACTTAATTAAATTAATTAATGAATAATAAGAATTTAAATCCAAAAGCTATATAAGTTTTATTGGTTTATTATTATTTTTTTCACCACTAGGGTAATAGGTACATACCATTACTTATTTTGTGTAGAGGTTGTGAAGTTGTTTTTCTCTCCTATCATTTTCATTACACACCAAGGGCAATAATGGATTAGAGGTGGGTCACTATTGATAAAAAATTGTGTAGAATATTACTGTTTAAAACTAGTATCATCACAAATAGTAATGGAAGTATTTTCAGATCAAATTTTGCAAAATTAAATACAAAAGACAAGCGTCCTCATTAAAAAACATTAGAATAAACTCACCTCTAATTCTTCTGTCTATGTCAAAACTGTCAAAACAACAAATGTGTTTATTTCATGTTGAAATACTACCAGTAGTAAGGCAAATTTTTCTCTTTTTGTTGCATTTTTTTTGTTATTTCAACAAATATTTTATATTATAAAGTTACAAAACATTTGTAATAGATTCAGAAGTACAAAAATGACATAACCTCATTTACAATACAAATAAAAAAATACTTCCAACTTAATTTACTAACTCAGATAAGTAATCAATTACTGTAGGTAATAGTAAAGAAAATGTTATACAGCGTGCGTCAGAAGTCGCGCCCCAGAAAAAGGTAAAATACTACGATCATAGAAAAAATGTTGAAAAAATTATCTATAAAAATTAAGAAGTTATGAGAGTTTAAATTTTGCACTTTGACTCTATTTATTGCAGTTGGAAAAATAATTTTCCAAGTTTTTTTGCTATAGGCTATTATAAGAGGAGACAAGGAAACTGTCTCCTAAATTGTAACTCTTTTTAATATTATTTGTAGCTTTTACAGGCAAAATTTTTGTAGGTTTATTAAATAATTATAAAAAAACATTTACAAGATTATCAGTATCATAAAAAAATGTCAAATGTGAAAGAATAAATATCAATCTTTTTTTCTATGTTTCTGATATCTTCTCATATACTTGAATTTTTTTCTGGGGCGCCAGTTCTGACACATCCTGTATAAAACACAGTAGTTTTTTTTATAGCCTCACATTTATTATTTCCCTCGATGCTACGCATCTCGGGTAATACACAGCCCCGCTTTACCTTGTGATATAATACAGGGTGCGCCAGAACTCGCGCCCCAGAGAAAAATGCCTTATAAGGTAAGATAACAGGAACATGGAAAAAATGTTAAAATCTATCTAGAAAAATTTCGAAGTTCTGAGACTTTAAATTTGCATTTTGACTCAATTTATCTCTGTTGGAAAAATAATTTTTCAAGTTTTTTTGCTACAGGCTATTAGGAGAGGCAACAAGGAAGCTGTATTCTAAATTGTAAATCTGTTTAATGTTATTTATGGCTTTTATTGTCAAAATTCTGGTACCTTTACTAAATAATTGTAAAAAAGATCATCAGTAGGTATCATTGAATAGACATAAAAAAAATGTCAAATGTCAAAAAATTTTGACAAATAGAATTTTTTAAACATTTTTTTCATGTTCCTGGTAACTTATCTTACTTGAAATTTTTCTCTGGGGCGCGAGTTCTGGTGCACCCTGTATACTATTGTTGTTGTCCATGTGTAAAATATTAATATTGGATAATTTTATTTAATACCAGTTAAATAAAATATGAATAATAAATGGTGATGAATGTTTACTATGTACAGTTAGTTTGTAATTAACAATAATCAATAATTATGTAGTAAATACACTGAAAGTATAACTAAACAACGAACAAAAATAAATACATTAGAGTCAGTGAAATCCTGGCAAAAATGCAAACAATTCAGTTCATATAAAATGTAACACCAAAACATGACAGAAATGAATAATAAACACGCTGCGATTAGATAAAAAAGAATTATTGTTAGAGCCATTTTGCTAATTATGGCAAGTTCCAACAAAGCCATGTGGGCAATGTTAATGAAGGCATTAAAGACTAAACGTGCCACATGTTGCGGAAGCAATTTTCACCTTTTAGTTTAAAACTTAATAAATTTTTGATTAGGAGAAAGATTACGTGTTTTCAGGTGAATACATTAAAAAGTGCGACTTTGAACTGAAAATAAAAATACCAATACTTACCTTTAGGTTCTTTCATTTTCCCAACTATAAAAGTTTCACCATTTAATTAAAAATTAACAAAGCAACCCTCTTCTAAACAAGTCGTAAAAGTCCGTTTTTAGTGTAAATGAGGTGGTAAAATGAGTAAAACATCAGTCGAATAACATTCAAGTCACACTTTATTCATCTTTATTGTAATATTTTTTGATAAACGATAAAAATATGTTTCTTTATACAATGGATGATGGAAAATAAATACAATTTTTTTTGCTTAATTATCAAAAAATGATTGATTGTATTTATATAGCCTATTTAGTATTTACATTGTGCAAAAGCATGTCGTAGAGTTAATAACATGGGAGGGACGTCAAAGAGCCTCACAATCCGTCCCTCCAAGTACATACATAATTAAAACTGTCGTAATAAAAGTTTTAACAGCGGAAAGCGTCAATACCTTAGACTAGTGTATCATTACATTAAAAGAAAATATCACATTACGAAAACACGTACAGTCTAGGGCACATTCAATGCCTCTGCACGTCTTGGTACAATCGATCAAAATTAAACCTACGAGTTTTGATTCTTAAGGAGGCGGATGAAGACTTTGGGGGGTCATTTCATGGATCTAAGATGGCCGAGTTTATTACCCCGCACGACTGTTAATCACCACAGGTCGTTTCGACGTTTACGACGTCTTCAGGGCGGGTGTAACAACACTCACACACTGTCACAAAACTATTTATCACATTACGTCAGGGCGAAAACTGTGACGAAGAGGAGGATCACCAGACGGACGAGAGGGGAAGATTTCGTCGTCCTGGTCGTGGAATTTTTCACTGGAAAAAAGGGGGGCATTAGGGGTGGGGTGACATTAACGATTCATGAACCAAACTCGGCGACATTATTAATGCAACTCGTGTTGGACACAATTGTTTTTGTCCCCGATTGGATGATTAAACTTTCATGGGGGTGGTAAAATGGGGCGGCAAATGTGTAAAAAATCCTCATTAAGAATGTCGCCAATGCTATGATAGTGTAATACACACCATGCCAGGGGGATTGGATGAAGGTGGTCCACTCACCGAGAAGGAGAGCCTCTCGCATGTCCTTTATCGGCAAGTTTTGGACGACGCTTTCGCGGTCGCTGCGCCACAACGCCGGTGACACCGACGCCATGCACTTGACTTTCATGGAACCACCTTGGAAGTGGTGGGCGCCGAGGGTGAATCGCAAGCCGAGGGTTGTCGTTATCAGACCCTGGCGGTGGTGGATGGGGGCGTAGCGGATCAGCGCGTTCTGGCTCGTTACCTAGACACAAAAAATTCCACACAAATTCAAAAATTAAATTAGCTCACTTAATTGATATCTTGACGTGTTTGCAATTCATTAGAAGAGTTACTAAAAACTGATAATGAAACCTTATACTATCAGATTTTGTCAAAAGTTATAGAGTTATCCTTACACTATCTGATTAGCGAATATTTTATACAATTATCGGGGGCTTCGCCCCCGAGTAGAACTCACACTATCGAATTTTGTCAAAAGTCTTAAACAACATTTCACAAATCACTACCTACCTATTTCGATCTATTTTCAACCCAAAATTAGGAATCTTTTCTATACTTATTTAATAGAGCTCTGTGTTTCAGTACTTTTTGATCAGAATATGACTGGCCACTCTAGACGTTTTTATTTTTTTTTTTGAAATTTTGCATTAACAATAATAGTTGTAGCACAACATACATTATTTTTTTTTAAACATAAAACTTCACTGCTTTGTTAATTTTTAGCATTAGTAATGCTTTTTTCAATTTTTTATTACTCCAAATATACATACAGGGTGTCCCAACTAAAATTTGCGTCCAAGTTTGGAAAAAATCCCAAAACAGTTCAATTTTAATTTATTTTCAGGATATTTTGAGCCATATGTTCTTTTTACACTAATCTCAAAAAAATTGCTTTGACCCTGAAAGAAACTCACACTATCAGATTTTGTCTTTTCTTACAGTAATCTCAAAAAAAATTGATCAAAACTGAAAAGAAACATGGTTGCATAGACAGTGGGTGGTGTTAAAAAAATAAGCAAATGTTTACAAGCATCTGCTATTAGCAGAAACTGATATCAAATCCTCTCGGGTTAGAAAATGTGTAAAAAGTAGAAATTATAGGGGGAGCGCGGCTTCGCCGCTCGCTCTCTTCTAGACCTCACATTATCTGATTTGCAAAAATTTTATCAAAATTATTGGTAGCGTTGTCTCCAAGTGAAACTAACACTATCAGGTTTGGTCAAAATTTATAAGGGGAACGCAGCTTTCCGCTCGCCCCTCTTTAAACTCCACACTATTTGATTTGAAAATGTTTTGTCGAAATTATCGGGGACTTTCCCCCMAAAAAAAAACTTACCCTATCAGATTTTGTCTTTTCTTACAGTAAGCAAACAAAATGGTTCAAAACTGAAAAAAAATCATGGTTGCATGGGGTGGTATTAAAAAAAGAAGCATCTGCTACTTAGCATAAGTATTCATGTGAAAGTAAAAGCTCTTGCTTGTTGTAATTGCTGGTTTTCATATTAATAAACAAATACTTTTGATGAAAACAACTACTTGTTGTTTCAAAACTATTTTACTTATACCTTTTTTTTTCTAAACTTGGACGAAATTGGAGATTTTAAAGGGTCCAAATTTTCGTCGGGACAGCCTGTATAATTATTCCTATTACAAAAGCTTTTAATATAGACTAAGAAACTGGTTTAATGTTATTAAACTTAGAATTTCTTGTCATCGTAAAAATTCTATCTATACAATAAATATACTCGTAGCAGTAATTTTTTTTCTTTTAAATAAAATCAAGCATAATGTATTTGGCATGTAATAAGACAGTCACTTAAATAAAAAATGTTAAGTAAAAATACGAATTTTTTAATGAAAAAATTATTATGATAACGTGGTGCAATAATAGATCTCCTCAAGAACAACAAAACTGTTATGTACCATTTTTTCAAAATCAATATTTTTTGAGGCATTTTGCCTCTTGTAAAACATCGAGCATTCTGTGATTGCACGTAACTTATTTTTATAGTTGAAATAATGATTGGATTTTAACGGCTCTTTCTAAAAAAATTTCTAATCTAAGTGATTGTTGCGTTTTCAAAAATGTGGTATATAAACAATGTTGCACTTGACAAATCTGCACGTGGTTGCACTTACTTCTGAGCCACGTTGTATACAGGGTATTCGTTTTTCGAGCTCTACCATGGGGATCTCAGTTATTATAAGAGATACGAGGTCAGTTAAATTAGGGCAAAGTTGCGCATTTTTATGCTAAACAATAATCTGAAAGAAAATTTAATGTATCATTATTAGTTTTTAAATTATTTGTWATTTTCGTTTTTATTTTTTCAAGCGAAAACTAAAAGACCTAGACGTTTTTAACTAGGACGTTCTTAAGGCYTTAAGGCATTTTTTTACAAGAAATCTAAATTTTGTCATCGTATTTTCCAAGGCACTCTTGATGTCAGAGTTACAACACTCAACTTTGGACCCTGTTAGACTAACTGAGATCCCCATGGTGGAGCTCGAAAAACAAACACYCTGTATTGATTTTCTAATTTTAACAATTAACTTCTTAAATTAAGCGACTGTGATTATTGTAATTCTTCAAGAATTTTCGTGTAKTTGTTGCCCACTTTAGTCATTTGGCCGTTTTCGTAATTGTGTGTAGATATTGGCATAATTCATACTGCTTTTGCAATTTTAATAGAAACGACAATAAAACTGCTCAACTCTGTTTGYGACCATTTATCAGCATATATTTGATTTACTTTACCATACAACTGTGCTAAACCATGTAACATTTGGTCAGATCACGTATTTAGCTATAAATAACGTTCTTGTAAATGCTTTGTTTGATTTCAAACATATTTCAAAATTGTTATTGATAGCTGAAATAATGAGGAAATCAAATTCATTATGAGATAAAATTGGCTGATATATTATTGTTTGATTTAGTCATTATGAGTGTTGCAACGAAGATAACAAACACATTAAATAGTATAATTCGCAATCTTTTATTTATGATTTATTATTTGAGATTTTTTTGAATTTCGTCACACTTCCTTCTTTTATGCTACTTTTAGATTCTTGTTGTGCGGCGAATTCTTCTCAAACACGTATAAATAATTCTCAAGGAGAATGTGAAATTAAAATTCATAATTCCGTCTATTTTCGAAACGAAATTCCTTTTCTATAGTATATTACATAACGAGCACAGAAAGTGAAAAATAATGCACGAGGCGTTAACCGAGTGCAGGCAATCCCGTGAGTGCGTTAGACACTTTCCTGCAAGTTTTGTACACTATTTTTCCTACGACTATAAATAATTTTTTTCTTACGAACATATTTTTTTTTCATAACGATTTATTTTTTATAACGGATACAAAAATACGTTGAATAACGATTTATTTTTTATAATGGATACAAAAAAATACGTTGAATAAAAAAATACAAAGCATTCGAGTGGGAATTGTGCGTTAGGTTTCTAACACACAGCGCGAAAACAAATCCCACTAATTTTTAACCTCGAACGATATTGCCAATTTTCGCGCATATGTAATTGTGCGTTATGATCTAGTTTCGTATATGGTCGTAGGAAAATGTTATTTTTGTATTTCTATAACTGTTAGTGTTTAGCGCTGCATTTTTTTTTTTGAATTATTTGAATTCCTACGTAACAAAATCGATTTCGAGGCGGAATAAAAGATCGGTTTCTGTTGGCAACAATGTTGCTTCTTGATATATTGATGTTTATTTAGTTATCGTCGTTCACGAGTCAAGTGCTTTTATATCGTACCTGTTGTTCGTTGATGTACCAGTGAAGAATGGAAGCCGGATGGCTCTTTCCTGAAGTACAGTTAAGTGTAATCTCGTCGCCGATCTGATATTGCATCTCTACCCCAGTAATGACAGGGTCCTCTTGCGGAAAAGCTGCAACAATAAAGATGTGCCCTCATAATAAAGTTAGCTTTTTGCTGGCAGATTTCTGTAAACTCTTAAAACAAGCGACATTAATTAAAACCGTTTATAACACTTCGTACTGTATATAAAGTCGAAATAAAGCTCCTATTAATTAAAATTAAGTTACGAGTTGTTGGATCTCCACCAATAAATTTCATTTAGTCACTAAAGCAAAATTTATGTAGCATAATACTTTTGTAACGCACTATATTTGCGCCTATTGTTAGAGTTGAATAAAGCAATTACGGAAGCTTAGATACACCTAGACTAGCTCGCTCTTTGCTACTATTCAATATTTATTCAGCGAGCACTACTGAATAATGGAAAAGTAGATGTGAGGGAGGAGTGGGCATCTTAATTAAGAAGAGGCATGCTAAGCGCACAGCACTTAAAGACGAAGTGTGAAAGTGCCCCAATTATTCCTTCTTGAAAGCATACTGCATTAAAAAACTCCACGTGTTGTACTCTCAGATACATTATTTCGCAAAAACGAATATAACACATCACAAAATTTCATCTACTAAAATACAGGGTGTCCCAGCGTGTTGAAAAAGTCTATTAGTGACTTTTAAATGGTAAAATTAAAACAAAATTGTATAGGACATTGATAGATAGTAATCTAGTGCATTACTTAAAATTATTTTCAACCACACAGCATGCACCATTAAGTTTTTTTAAATGAAACATTTTTTGCATTTTTGGATGTAGCCTTTTAAAACAATGTTTATACACTAAACTTTTATTAGTTGATTTCGCTTAGATTTAGAAATAAGACGTTTTTTTTGACAAAAACATGCACTTTTTAAAAAATCATTACACAAAAACTAAGACAGCTAGAACAAATTTTTTCTTACTTCTGCAAAGAAGAAAGTACAGAATTGAAAGCTGTAGCAATATTTTAGTGTTTTGCATTTGGAAAGACTAATAAATTAAGAAATTTGTTAAAAGTTGAAAAACTCAAAAAAATTTAATAGATCACCTTATTTTTTTTTTTCATCAAATAGATAGATAAATTGTCTAACTAAAAAAGTAAACTTTTAATGTCTGGAATTGATAAATGAAAAGATATATAACATTCAATATTAATTGTGGCAACAATGACAACACCACAAATCACTTATCCGTTGATTTATTCAGAGATTGTAAAAGTCGTTATAAATACTAAAATTTGAATTATTTTTTTGCAAATATAAAGAATAATGGGTTCAGTTTAACACAAATGTGATTATTAAGTGGTATTTCTTCCATGTCTTGTGCAACTGATCATTTTTTGGGCTACGGAAACAATAGTAATAGTATTTTTTTTATGTTTAACGTTAAATATTTTTAAGTTATTGATTAAAAACACCTAAAAGTTAATAATTTTAGAAAGACAATTTAATAATCTTTTAAATGTAAAAACAATAAATAGAGTGTTCCATTTAATTTTTTTTAAGTTATTGAACTTTTAACAAACGCCTTCATTTTTATCTTTGCAAATGCCACACACTAAAAAAATGTTACAAGCTTATAGCTTGTACCTTCTTCTTTGCGTAGTAAGAAAAATATTTCTAGATGTCTTAGTTTTTGTGTAATTTTTTAAAAAGTGCATGTTATCGTCAAAAAAACCGTCTTATTTTTAAAACTAAGCAAAATCGACCAATAAAAGTTTAGCTTAAAAACATTGTCATAAAAATTTACATCTACAAGTGCTAAGAAACATATAGTGTTTCATTTAAAAAAACACAAGTTTGTATTGTAACTTATTTTTCAGACACGCTGTATAGTTGAAAATAATTTTAGGCGATGGACTAGATTAGTATCTATATATATTTTTTTGATTTTAATCTTACCATTTATAGGTCACTAATGAACTTTTTCAACTCGCTGGGACACCCTGTATACAGGGTTCTAAGTCTAATCGAGCTTAAAGTTGTTGTGATAAGTAGTATTTAGTATTTATGCAATGGTTCTAAATTTGAGTGTTCTGTCTAATCAATAAAACCGATAACTCCTCAAAATTTTATAAAAATTTCGAAATAGTCTGCAAAATAAATATTATGTCATTAATAGAAATTGTCCTTTGAGTTGACAAAACAGTCGGTAAATTGGATCTTTGTCCACTTTTGACTATTAATTTTGACTTGAAAAAAATAGTCCCTACTCATTGCCTATAAAATTATGCATCATCTTCGTACATAATTTCAGTCTTCTATTTTATTGTTAGTAGTAGTTTAATATGTAATTGAATCGTGAGTGAACATTCTGGAGTAACATTTTTTGACATTGTGGTTTATTTTATTACTTTTCTTTAGAAAAATGATTTAGTGGTAATTGCATTTTATCAAACTTTATTAAATCTGAAAATTTTTAAAGCAAATTACCTATTCAAAAATTTTAATTGTAATTAATATTGTTTTTACAAAAAGTTTTTATTGATGCTTAACTGAAAGAATATATTCCACAATAGCTACGTTTACGAAATTTGTAGGGTTAGTTTTATATGATTTTTTTATGAATTTGTTTTAATTTGTAACAATAAAAACGGAACAGCCTGTATATTTTCACAGAAAAATAGTTAAATGTGGTTAAATTAATCAAAGTTGAAGATGAACCTATCAAGAATATTGCTGAAACGATTCTTTTATTTTATAGATTATTGAACCACAAATGTTAGACTTTGAATCTTGGAAATGGATCCATTTTTCCAAAAGTCCTTTTTTGTGCTCTTGTAGTTAATTTTTAAACATTTTCGTAACATTTTTAACCCTTTTATTAATAAATTATGTAAATTTAAATGGATTATTACATACACAAAGAGTAATTTCATGTAGTTACAATAAAAGAGTTCATTGGCATTGCATGTATAAAATAACGGTTATTACTAAACATCCATGAATCAGAGTTTTAATCGTTAGTGTATTGTGSTATATTTTRTAACTCAATATCATCAAATAAAAAATTATGATAATAATGAAAAACTAATATTACCACAATACACCGAGTGTTACAAAAGCAAGTTTAAAGGTGAATTTAATAGTTCCAAAAGTCAAACCACGAAAAAATAGTTCTAGTACATGAAAGTACTGTTTTATCGTTTTTCAGTAACTTCCTGATGAAAAATTGTTGAATTTAATTTTGAATTTTTGGTTGTAAATTTCAATTATTTGAGCAAAGCCATTCCAATAATCACCAAAATGAAGCTTTTTATTCCATTCCGGAAGCATCCTAACAATAATTTCGAATTCAAACAATTCAAATTTAAAAATAAAAAAATGTAAATAAAAGCAAATTACCATTGCATTTATTTTTTCACAAATAATAAAACAAAACGCCATTACGTTCCGAAATAATTTTAATATAAAATCAGCAAGGCTTCTCTCCGTTTCCAGGCCGTATTTTTTTATCACCCCTCGGATTAACAATAAACCCGACTCATTGCATTTTTGATAATTTATTTCGCATGCAAGCCCATTTCGTTTTCCATTACACCCGACCTATTCCCAGCAGTAAAAACTGCACTCATCGGCTAATGCAGCCCTTCCCCGATAAACAGCACGCGGATTTTTTCCAAAGTCCGATTTTATCGTCCCCTYATAGCAATGCAAATGGTTTTTGCTCGGTCGAAATTAGAGCCCTATTTGAATGTTATATCCGCGCCGTACAAAGAAAAGGATTTATTTTATTGCGTTATTGCCTGAGCAGGTTTCATTTGCTGGAAAAAGTGGACAAATCAAGGAAATATCGCTGATTCGGCCGTTCATGTTTTACATGCGCATGTATAAGCAAACAGATGTATAAAGGCAATATCGCGAACTTTACGACGGACGTTAAAACGATCGGTTTTTACCAAGGCACATGAAAAAACTTCCTAATGATGGTTAGGTTTGCTTGTTTAAAATTGATGCCCGTTTCGCATGTGTCTTTCTAGATCGAGATAACGCCGCTTAATAAATCTAAATTGCGGGGGTGTCTGAACGATTGAAACATCATAATAGAGGCACCATCAAGAAAAATGATTATTTTATGGAAACGAAAGCCGACACTTGATTTTACAATGTTTTCGTTCTGTTTTCTCAATCTTCTGCTTCACATCGTTATGGTAATACTTCTCTTTCGTTCTGTTACGCTTCATTTTACATTCGATGGCTTTCTTGTGTTTACTGTCGTCGAACGTGCATTAGTGTGCTCGATTTGTATGTTTAGTTTGATTGCGTTTATATTGTTATTTCGACAGTTACAGGGGATACAGCTTCTTTTTTACTTAACTTGATGGCAAAACAATGCCAACACCACAACTGCTTCCTACTTTATTATTACAAAGTATTCACAAAATTGTCAAAAAACGAATTATAGTGAGTTACTAGAAAAGAGAAGAGATGATTTTTTCTCTGATTAACAAAACAGGTATTTTAATTAATCGTTAATTATTTGTCTTTAGACTAGCTGAAAATGCAAATGTTTATTATTTTAATTTCTCCAACAAAAATACCAATAAATTTTCTTCTAAATATTTCCCTAATTAATGTAAAATATTCGCATGTTGAGTAAAACATATTTAATATAATTTGTAGTAATGAATACATACAAACACAAATATTCAACAAAAGTGCAGTGCAAATTTGCATTGCATATGCATTTTAGTTGGGCTCTCTATGTTTTAAATTTAATTTAATTGTAGATAACTCATCCACACTTTGCTAATAATTTCTTAAAAGCAGTAGCAGATACAGAGAAAAATTAACTTGGAGAACAAAGTCTGAACACAGATATAAATTTGCAGTTTCAAAAAGACTTTATTAATAAGACTAATGAAGATAAAATTTTACAAACTAAATTGAAATATATGAAACATAAACCGTTTTGCAATTACTATCAAATGGTTTAAATTGAATGTTTAAACAATCAGAAAAATTTTAAAAATTAAGGGAAACTTTCCATCTATAAAACCGCTAAAACCAGTTATTTTTTCAAAAAAAAGGTCATTTGAGTAACGAGCACTGCTAATGTGAAGAAAATAATGCATTCAAGAAAAGAAAAAAATATATAAAAGAAGTTTTTGAAGGAACAAAAAAATTACTGGCTTAGGAATAATACCAACTAAAAAAAATTCTAACTTCATTAATCGTTGACCGATTTTCTTAAAATTTTTATTGTTTCAGTAATTCATTTTAAGTGAGTTACTGCTGGCAAAAAACACAAAATATGGTTTTTAGTTTGAAAATTTGAACTTTCTTGGACCATTTTGAATAAAAAAATTGTTCATTG